CGGAATACCGGCAGCGGCGGGAGCGCAACAACATCGCGGTGCGCAAGAGCCGCGACAAGGCCAAGCGGCGCAACCAGGAGATGCAGCAGAAGCTGGTGGAGCTGTCGGCCGAGAATGAAAAGCTGCACCAGCGCGTGGAGCAGCTCACGCGGGACCTCTCCGGCCTCCGGCAGTTTTTCAAGCAGCTGCCCAGCCCGCCCTTCCTGCCGGCCGCCGGGGCGCCCGACTGCCGGTAACGCGCGGCCGGTTGAGACTCGAACGACCGATACCTCAGTCCCGACGGCCGGGAGCCGAGCGCCCGGCGGGAGTCCGGAGACCACGCTCCGCAGCCGCAGTTCCTCTGGGACGGTTGAGCACAGGGAAGACACCGCTTGGACTCACCACCACCGAACGTCGAGAGAAGTCAGATGTGTTTATTTTCCCTTAAATTATTTTTATAATGGTAGCTTTTCTACATCTTACTCCTGTTGATGCAGCTAAGGTACATTTGTAAAAGGAAAATGACTTTTCAGACCAACCCTTTGTATTGTAGATAAACGGAAAAGACTGAGCATGCTCACTTTTTTATATTAATTTTTACAGTATTTGTAAGAATAAAGAAGCATTTAAAACTACCCACCCGATTCCTGTATTGACAGTGACTTCTGCAAGCCGGTGGCCCCAAGGGGAAGGGTCCAGTCCAGCGTCACTGCGGGTACAGCGAGGCACCAGGGAGCTGCTGGACCCAGGCATGTTTTTCCAAGGGGAAACCAAGTTCTTAGAAGAGAGGGTCTGCTTTGTTTTGAAACACGCCGAAGTCTACCTCCTAATGTTTTTACTTGCGTGAGATTGGTGAAGCAGCTAGGTGAGATTGCTAGGCAGCTTTCCCTTGGAAGGTGCCAGCCCCTGAGCTGAATTGAGGGCTCTTTAGAGAACAACTCAAGCCCCCTAACTTTTCTTGCAGGAGGGGTTAGAGGGCTCCGGTTATGGAAACAGCTTGTTCGAATCATCTCTGGCTTTCATGGGACTTTGCTTTCACTTTCCTCAGTCTTAGGAATTCTTCGAGTGGATTTTCAAAATTTGCACAAGTACAAAATAGAGATATTGTAGATGAAAAGGACAGTTACAGAACTCCTGAAAATCATCCACCTTGCCAGTAATTGTACCATTTCAAAGCATACTCTGGACAAATAGAAGCCTTTTTACTATTCCCCCAATAAAAGTGGGTACGAAGCACCTTCTCTTGGTCTGGTTACTAAGTCTGTATAATGTAAAAAATTAACCATGGTCTGTCATGATTATATTGTTCTAAGGAAGGAAACAAAATCTCTACTGTCCAAAGATAATTAATTCGTGGTTTTAGGTGCAATTTAATCTCTACCAACAGAGCAAACAATAACCAATCATCCTTTCTGAGTTTGTAATCTTGCTTCTCCACACAGTACCCAGCCTGATTACATAGACCTATCTAGAGTGAACTCTATCTCTGTACAGTATAACTAATCACATGGGTTAACTTATCTACACTTTATGGTAACAGTTTTACCTTTGACATAATTTTCCCGAACATTTCCCCAAAAACACTTAACTGCAAAGCAAAGCACTTAGATGGACATTTATTGCAGGAGAACAGTAACATCATAAAATAGGTTTAAACTTTTGGGAGAATATGAAAACATACTGTAAGAAAAACATGTTAAATCATGGCAAATTTTAAACACTTTACAACTAAGACTTCTTTCCTGCTGTATTAACTTTGTTGCTTAAAATAAATATGAATACTTAAAGCTTATTTAAACTTTAATACCACATTTCTAAAGTTTCAGAAAGATAAAAAACAGAGAACCCAGAAAAAGATATTTTGACTTAAAGTTTACAAAACGCTTTTACTAACATTTGCCCCAGAAAAATCTAAGTTCCATTTGAAGATCATAAACTACATTCACTCTGCCATAGTTAACAAATAACTACCCCAAAGGGTACTCCACCACCACCACCCTAGCAGCCACGTCACAGAGTCCCTACAGCACTGGGCGGTGTTCCACATAAGCTCTTCCTGCTCTCAGAAGCTCGATTTCCTCCAGTCCAGCACAGCTAGCAGGGTGGGTAGTTATGGACTGGACAAAACAATTTAAGAACTCCACCTCCTTTCCAAGGATACTCTTTACTTCGTAAGTCTGCAGTGATAAAAGATATGTTGGTTAAAGCAAACAGAGTTAGCCCTGGACATTCTGTTTCCAATACTCAGAGCAGAGAGGGCCCTTTCTCCAAGTCTGCCACCTTCCACCCTTCAAGTGGTGCAGACAACACTGGTAAAGGAGGAGGAAAATGAAGGGTTGCTATAAAAGCCTATTTTTCATGGCAAATGAAGAAACTACTTTTCCCCCTGATAACTGAATTATGTTTCCATGCAAAGAATATTTAAACATTCATTTTAACTTGATGTTTGTTTATTAATGGATGCAATGATAAGTATCTCCCAGCTGACTCCCCAAGAAGAACTGAGGGAAAAGACACACAGGATTCTGTCCAATTTTTTTTTTAGCTGGGTGGGGGAGGGAGCAGTAAAGGAAGGAGGGACAGTGCACGCTTGTGGCTGTGTCCTTCTTTTGGGACACTTCCTCAATCTAGCAACACTTCCGGTCAAAGAATTTCCTGGTACTTTGCCCCAAACTTCCCTCCTTAATAGGGCACAATTTCTAAAGTTACAGTAAACTAGACCCTGCTTTGTAACAGAGAGCTTTCTCTTCATATTTCTGTTTGATGGCTATGAAGTGACTAGTTAATCTCAGGTCAAGTTTTATGTCTGAGAACATGGGGAAGGGGGTGGCTGAGACTAGAAAGCTGTGGTGACCTTGTCTGGTCTCTCTAGATTAATTCTTACAACCTTTCTGAGGTGGCTGAAAACAAAAGAGCTGCAAAGCACAGGTATACACACAGCTCTGGCTTTAAGGACTGAGCCCCACTGATAATCTTTCAGAAATTCCTTTGCTGGCACTTGGAAAGTAATATTCAGAGCTACCAATTATCCCTCCTCCATACAGAACACTTGAAAAATCTCTACAATAGTTCTGTTTAGTAGTCCTTAACTTACTCCTGCAGAACCAGATAGCAGGGTGAAGCTGACTGGATGTGGGGACTGACTTCTTATGAGCAGAGTGCAGTAGAAGGACACTGAGTTACATCCCAACTGTGGTCAGGAAGGCACCTGGCATCTGCCTGCATCTTGGGGATGCCTGTTGGGGGTCCAGACTGTGCCAGTATCTGGTCAGAAGCCAGGAAGCTTCCAGCCAACAGGGCCTGTGCATGGGTCATGGAAAGGCTTCTTTAGCCCAGCACGTGAGCACCTGCTGATACCCAAGAAGGGCAGGGATGAACAGAACCCAGTCTGAAATGTAGGTCTGGTTTATACCAGGTTGTGTTGCAGAAGAACAGCTTTTAGATGGTTTTCTCTGAAGCAGTGAGATCTGGGATGCAAGTACCATGCTACTGTCAACTCACTATGAAGCTATTGTTTTCCCACCTGTTAGACAGGCACAGTGTGAAATACCTGGACTACCAATATGATTTGTGCGATTTGGCTTCTTTAGTAAAATGAGGTGACTAGCAGAGTGCTTAAAGGAGTGATGGGGGGCTGAGACTTTCCTAAAACTCCACAAGTGAAGTGGACATCAAGTTTGTTGCCCACTCCTACCAGCAGGCATTGAAATTTGGTGTGAGTTCACTGGGGGCTAACACTTAAGGCTACAGGCTAACACTTAAAAGCATGAGGTGGTAAGGAGTGAGGGGTCAACCAGTAGAATAGGTGGTCAAGATGGGGCAGCTAGATGTTTCTTAGTTCTCTCTTTCCTTGTAGCTAGCTTTGTAAGTTACATGTCTATGGAATGGACCACCCAGGGATTCTTACACTTGCTAAGGTAAAAGTACCAAATTTTGACTTGAAAAAAAGTCAGCAAAGTCATTTCTTTCAAAATGAAAAATAGAACCCTGATTTCAGTTTTGGCAGTTACAGTCTTCAATAACCACTGGCCATTTATAATGGAGGTGAAATTAAAAATAGTATATATAGTATGTTGGAAAAGTCAGGATACATTTTTGCTTGAAAAAAAGAAAAAAATACAACATGACTTTTCTGATAACCCAGGATTTGGGGGAAATTAACATGGAGAGGTTAAAACAGTCTTGCCAGCAAAGTCATCTGTGCTGGTCATAGGAGTGTGTGTGCATGTGCATATATACAAAATGTGTCCTAGTTTTAAAAAGCACATCATATCACTGTAATGAGGTAATTTTGAGAAGTGGCAGCCAGTTCCATCGCTTCCACAATGTAGTCTGACCACCTCAGAATGACATCATAAAAGTTAACATTCAGAGCCTAACCAGAAATAGTACATTTATTCCAGGGAATAGGGAAAGTCTCTAGATTTTGGTGAGTATGGATATTTCATCCAGAAAAGTGAGAGAATCCCACCTGGAAAAATGTGTGCCTGATGTATACACACAGGCCTTTGTATGTCATTGTCTTGCAATTCCTTCCCAGGCCAGATGTGTAGCCTTGATTATCCTGAGTAAAGCTGGGAGCAGGGGAAGGATCTTAGCGAATGTACCTCCATGCTTATATTTTCTCTCATTTTATTGGTTAGCTGTGGCAACCAAGCACCACAGGGATGATAGCCAACCATGCCACACACCCAGCACACATGAGCATGTATACCTACACTGAAGCACATATCGATGCACATATTTCTCACACATACCTTGTGAACTCGAAGTAGGGTTTTGCCTACAGGAGGACTATCATTGAGAAGTTTTATATGTGGATGTTTAATGTTAGAAGGAAATCAAGTGAGATGAGGAGGATTTCTGCCATGGCCTCTACGAGGTCTGTAACGAGACTTGTGTGGTTAAGGACTGTCTGGGTTGGAAGTCTCCTAGAGGAAGTACCACGCCACTTTCCTGAGTACCTACAGAGCCCTGTGGGAGATCAGACCAGCCACAATGGGCAAATGCCTTACGACTTGCTGCTGGTTTAGTTTATTTAAATTGTGGGTTTTGGGTTCATTTTGCTATGCATTTGCCTTAAGGAGGAATTTTCCCAAGGCTTTCCCCCAGCATTCTCAACAGAAGTGCTGATAACTCCAACCTCTTGGCACCTGTTTAAAGCCCAATACCTTGGAACCATTAGCCCATGAGACACAGCCAGAGCTACGCCCATCTTTCTTTCTTCCTCCCTCCCCCTAGGAGCAGTGATGAGGCAACATGAAATTAGCAGGGATCTGCCTCGTCACCCACTAAACACATAGAACAGAGACATAACTCTGGCTACCACTCTGCTAGGTGGTCCCCAGTGGAATAATACGATTTTCCCTATGTGGAAAGTCTCTGCATCCAACATAAGAGAATGTGGTAAGGACTGTGATCTTGTTTTTTCTGCAGTATAGTGTGGATTCTGATTACTGGGATGTTGAGGAGATAAATGAGGAAAAATGAGAGAAAAGAAGCGGGGAGCAAAGCTTTTGGTCCATTGTAATTATTTACAGTGTACTTTTATGCAATCAGGGACTCCTTGTTTACAAACCCTCCAAAAGCCTGGTATAAACAACGAGCCCTGTTTACACAGCCCCCATATTTATTTCAACCAATAAAATGAAGGTTTGGAGCTAGGGGCAGGGATGTCACCGAGGAGCTTTAAGCAACAAGCTTAGGCTGCTGGGCTTTACCCTGAGAGAGCCAGATACCTTTTTTTTTTTTTTAAAGATTTATTTATGCATACAGAACGGCAGTACAAGGCAGAGGTGTAGGGGTGGTGAGAGGATTCACCAGAGACAGAGTGAGAAGCAGAACAGATCCACAAAGTACACTGCTGAGGGGAGCAGTGGCTGCACCATGTGGATCACCTCCCGGGCCAGGGATGGAACTTGCAGTGAAGCGGCTGCGGCTCACTTGCAGTGCTGTGTTCTAATCTGTTGTACCACCAGAGAGGGCCCACAGGTACTTCTTAAGATTTCTGAGGCAATTTTACTTTGAAGTCAGAGTTGGGAATCACAGACTAAAGCCAGTCCTTACAGACTGTGTTCACAGGTCTAGCCACATCCCAACTGAATCTGAACTTTGACCGCCGTGGTTTGGATGAAAGTGCACATGGCTGCTTTACCTCCTGGTGCTGCTAGGACCTCCTTGAATATGTGAGGTGGAGGGCTGTTGCTAAGAGTAGGCAATTATAGGAGAGGCTTCCAAAGGACAGATCAAATCAATCTCAAATTCTGGCTGCAACCAGAGCTAGAATTTGGCCAAAAGAATCCTCAGAAAGTTCTGCAGATAATAGCCTTTCACCACAACCCCATGAGCCTGTCTGCATCAACTTTCTAGACATGGACCCCAACACTGCGATCTGGGGGCTGACACCACCCCATGGCCAGTTTTAATGTCCTTCTCTAGGGATCAGTGATTCCACAGGCCATTGCGGTGCTTCTGAATGGCTTTGACAAGACACAGGTGTCATCTCAAGGACAGCCTCTCTCTTTATGAGGGCCACGTTTCACAAAGATGAAACTTTCTTTGGCCTTAAGTTATATCAATTTGTTGTTTTCCCAGAGGCTCACATCACTTTGCTAACCCTCATCATAGTAATCTCAGGGCATGCAAACCAGTTCTGAGAAATAACAATGAAGTTTCCAGTTACTCAGACCAACAATTAAAAAATATTCATATTCTATGAATGTGGCCTTAGGATTTGAAATCTCAAGATTCTCTCATAATAACCCATGCTATGGGTGCAGATTCATGGGTCTACTGTGAAGATGCTTACGAAATACCTCAATTCCAAAAAGGAAAGGATCTCATTCACAGACGTGGGCCTTTGGTAGCAAGTGACAATGTGCTTATTCTAAACACTAAGCATTCACGCAGTTACAATGTGGGACTCTGTACAGGTCTTCATGTGTGGGTGGAGCTAACTTGGTTTAAGAGCAGAAGGGACACATCCCTGGACTTACCCCATCTTCACAGGCGGCAAACCTCAGGAGTGAAGAAATACTGCTCTGTAACAGCTGCAACAACAGTGAAATGGGCTGGGTCAAATTCTGTTCTGGGAGCAAGTCTTGTACTGAAAGTACTTAAGTCCTGAAAGTTAGTATGCTGAATCTAACTCACTTTCCCCCTTTTTGTTAGCTTCTCTTGATGAATCTCAAAGTTGTTAAGTCACATGTGACTTAAATCACAGACATAAAATGATTGTCTACCTAGAGGAAGTCCTCTCCCCCCTCCCAAGAAAGAGCATTAGTTGCAACTTTCTCCCAGCCAGTGAGCTGGGCAGCTCCTGTGCCCAAGCAGCTCATACCTTGACCCTCACAGTGCACTGAGGTCGAGAGGGGCAGTCCAGGAAAACCTGCAGATTCCTTCTGAGAAGAGGGGAGGTGACCACACGGGAGCAGTCCCCACAGAAAAACTTGCCTCTGTTTGCAAACATACAGGGGAGACAAGATCCAAAAAGATGCACGTCAGAAAAAGCTAGCTGTATATAGATGATTTTCTAAATGTGACTGTTGGCTGAGATAGAAAAGGTATGTGTGTATGTGTGTGGTTTTCAGAAACTGAGCTCCTAAAATCTGCCAGCAGGCTTCAGCCTGTTCTGAAGGATAAATGTCAATTAAGGGTTGCATGGACATGTGATGCCACTGAGGATGGAAGGGACCCTCAGGCCATTCATTTCTGAGCACAGAGGATGACAGCAAACATTCTTGAAGCACAGCGAGGTCCTCTGCGGGGCAAAGGGATATCGAGATTCCCCATATGCATGAGCAGGAAAAACAGCTTCTAATCATCAGCAGTATTTGTGTTCCTTTCTGCTACCAAGTAAGCTTGAGATTCAAACTCTTGTCTCTTAAATATGACTCACGGATGACTTGTTTATACAACAGGTCACTGTCCAGGAGGTGTCAAGAAGACAGTTGCCCTTTGTTTCTTAGGATGCACAAATATAATTAGAATGCCTCTTTTATCTGTCATGTGACAAAATCAACTTAGAGGCCAGAGAACTAGATTGGAGAACGACCTGGGCACCTGGCTCTCATCCCTACGCCCAAGGAGGGGTGCAGTGGCACTGGGCAGGGAAGAATGTCTGCTAATTGGTTCTGGAAAAGTCTGCACCCAGCAAAAGACAGGCTGTACTATTGTCTTACTTCTTCACTATTGCTGAGTTTTTCTTTCTTTTTTTTTTTTAAAAGATTTATTTATTTGTGCATACAGAACTGGGGTACAGGCCAGAGGCTCAGGGGCGGTGAGAGGCTTCACCAGAGACAGAGTGGGGAGCAGAACAGGCAGATCGACGAAGTACACTGCTGAGGGGGGCAGTGGGCGGGTCAGGAGAGGTCTGCCATGCCATGCGGTCACCTCCGGGGCAGGCAGGAATCGAACTCATGCGGAAGCGGCTTTAGATTCTCAGTGCTGTGCTTTAACCCGCTGCGCCACCAGGGAGGGCCCGAGTTTTTCTTTTTTTTTCCAGGTTGACAAAGGAGATGAGGGAAAAACCTGGCTCTTTTCTGTACTAAGGCAGGAGGAGCTATAAGGAACAGTAAAACTCCTATTGTGAAGAAAGAAAACAAACACTGTTGTGCACCACAGCCTTTGCCCTGCAATCAGCAGACTTGCTTCCCACATGGCACTCAGGCCTGGTTCTGTGCAGAGGCAGCAGGTCTGAAGTAGAAGGCACTGGAGACCTGATTACAGGGGTGCTGGTGCCCTGGGGACTTTGGGGCTGTCCCCTGACCCCTTACCTGTCTTCTGGTCTCTGTTCCAATCTTCCATTGCCACATAGGTCACATGTAGGCCAGGAGAAAGCAGTGTTCTCATCCACACCAACCACAGTCCCTGGGCCCAAAGGAAGCAAAGCAGTAACCTCAGATAGGTCTGTCCTCTCACTTCTCTTTGCTACTCAGGACATTGATGGTAACTTGTGGTGTTGCAGATATGTTTCTTATTCATGAATTTATATAAATGTCCCTAAGCATTTTATAACTTCCATTTATTACACAAACAGAATTATAGCAATAAAAGGTAAGCTTTAAAACTTGCTGGCATTGCTAGCTAATTGAGTATTATCTTTCTGCTAAATTTTGTCTTTTTCAGTACAAAGTCTTATTCTGCTTTTAAGTTGCTGTATAGCTGTGAAAGGAGTATCTTACTGACATTCCATTCAGGCAATATGCCACAGAACCCTCAACTTTTCTCTGCAATTTGAAGCACATTTTAGGTTCAAATTGCTTTAGTGCTAAGGCAGTGAGTATCTTTACATATAATGCATTTCTTATTTGAGACTCTTTTCTCAAGAAAGGTTCCTAGAAATAGAATTACTCTTCAAGAGTTTGAATCTTTGAGAATGTAGAAATACCTCCGAAAGGCTTTTCACAAAGGTTCTGATTCAGTCAACATTTCTTCTTTGTACTGCATGCTTACGTCACATAATGCCCACTTCCTTTATAGATATAATGATTTTCTTATTTTAGTTTCTACTTCTTTGATAAAAAAGGTAAATATTTGTATTGGTTTGTTAATACCTTCTCTGTGATTTACCTCATTTTTAAATTTCTTTTTGACTCCTATATTTTTTATTTATTTAGTCAACAAACAAATATATACACAATGCTATTTAATATAGCAACAAAAAAAATGTAAAGATGAAAGCTACAAACCCTACTTTCATGAACTCCACAGTTTGGTTGGAAATAAGATAAATAATGTGTAAAAATAATAAGTAGGAGAGAACAATTGCAAAATTACAGGAGAAGATGCAAAAAATGCATCTTCTGATAAAGTATGAACTGTTACCCACAGAACCCTATAGCTAAAGAACCCTTTAAGCTCAACAATAATATCATAAACAACCCAATTAAAAAAAATGGGTCTAAGACCTTAACAGACAGCTCACAATCACAGAGTAAACTTAAATGCATTTCAATAAGTGAAAGAAGTCAACCTAAAAAGGCTGTTTTCAACTATATGACAGTCTATAAAAGTCAAAACTATGAAGACAGTAAAAAGATCTGTGGTTGCCAGGTGTTGAGAAGGAAAGGCAGAGGATTTTTAAGTCAGTGAAACTTAAAACTCAACATGCCACATGTTCCACAAAAGTACACCAATTGTGAACCCTAAAGTAAACCATGAACTATGGGTGATTGTGCTTTATCAAAGTAGGTTTGTCTATCATAACAAATGTACTACTATCGTGGGAGAAGTTGATGGGGAGGCTATTCAAGTGTAGAGGCAGAGAGTATGTGAGAAACTTCTATACCTTCTGCTTATTTTTGCTATAAACCTAAACCTGCTCTAAAAGGTTTATTAAAAATATCATGAATAGGCCCTCCCTGGTGGCACACAGGTTAAAGCACAGCACTGAGAAGCTGAAGCCACTTCCACATGAGTTCGATTCCCGCCTGCCCCAGAGGAGATCCACATGGCGTGGCAGATCTCTCCTGACCAGCCCGCTGCTCCACTCAGCAGTGTACTTCGTTGATCTGCCTGTTCTGCTCCCCGCTCTGTCTCTGGTGAAACCTTATCACCCTCCACATCTCTAGCCTGTACCCCAGTTCTGTATGAATAAATAAATCTTTAAAAAAAATCATGAATGAGTGCTAAATTGAGAAATGGAAAAGATCCCTAAAAGATACAGAAAAGAGCTCTTCCAGGCTGACTGAGGATTAGGGAAGGCTGCATAAAAGAAGAAATGTAAGTAAGGCTACTGATGGGGATGGAGGCATCGCTCACCCTATACTCTAGAAGGGCACAGGCCAGGCAGGCATAAAGAAAAGGCAGGTGAGCCAGCTGTGAAGTTGGTAGACCAAGGTCATTCAGGGTCCAATGGGGATTTTTAGCCTTGATTTTGGAAGGAATGAGAAACCAGTGAGGACTTTTAAACAGGGAGTGACTGTGATGGCCTGATTTCCATAGAATGTGAAACACTTAAGACATGGTAATATACACAATGGAATACTACTCAGCAATCAAAAGGATAACTTTATACCATTTACATAACCATGGATGGAGCTGGAAGTGATTATGTTCGGTGAAATATATCAGAAGAAAAAACAAAAATTTTGATGATTTCACTTAGAGGAGGAACAGGGAAACCATACAAAAGATCAAAAAAAAAAAAGACAAAACTAGCAGTCAAACTATAAATTAGATACATTCATCAAGGGACAGGAAGAATAAAAACAGGAGGGAAGACCAGAGAAATTTATGGTGATGGCTCACCAGTGTTTCGGTGGTGGTGGTAATTTTATAGGGACAACACCTGAGAGGAGAAATCGAACACTGTACAAAAATGAACTACAATGTAGCAATACATAAATAAGTAAATGAGCAAAAAAGCATTTGAAACACTGTAGAAATCATCTACATATACTGGCAAATCACAGTCAACAAGATATTGTTGAAAATGGTAAAATTAGACATTTGAAGAGAAAGATGTAATCTAGGTTTCCAGAAAAACAGCCATCCATCCCGTTCTTGGAAAAAGGAATTTTTGTTCCTCACCAGAAAAAGCATTAGGAGAAAATTTATCCACAGAGGATAAAACAGAATTATGAGAGCTAAGAAGTTATTATTTATTAAAATGCATTCACGCAATGCATACTTGAATGATTTTTTAAAAATGAAAATAATAGATCTTGATTTTGAAGAGACTGCTCTAGCAAATTTCATTGTCCTTGAAAATCTAATAAAGATGGGTCAAAGGGATGAGAAGAAAGTCAACAAGGACTCATAATACAGCTGGAAAGGAGTATCCACTAATTCACAACAGGCGGGGACACTGGGGGGTTAGGGTGCCTACCACAGGCATATGAGCCAAGCATAGAGTCTAGGCCACAGCAGCACATTTAGAGTCTACTAAATGAATTAATAAAGGCTGCTACCAACCAGAGTTCCTTTTACCCTCGGATATCTTTGGGCGTTAATAGCATTTGCATTTTATATGGGATTAAGCAATTTCCTTCCTTTCTGGGAACATAACATGAGTTGATGAAACATGTTTCATACACCACTGGAAATCCCTTCTGGCAACCCCATATGAGTTCCAAGGATGGCTGGGAAGTGTACTATTAAACTCCTAGTATCTAAAAACATTGAATGATCAATAGGAGACAAACAGAAGTTTGAGGGTTGTAACACTATGCTCATCACTGGGGCTACAATTTCCCATTGAAGACTTTTACTTTCCCTGTCTTCTTTACAGAAATCTATAGTAATTAGGTTTGGGTAAAGAATAGCATGTCTATTGAAATATCATTCAGGGACTGTGAAGCTAGGTAGATTTTGGCTAGGCTGAGGAATAGGGTCTGACTGGCCTTCCCCCAGCCCCAAGAAAAAAACCCATCTTTTAAAAAAGATTCTTTCAAATAATCCTTGGAAAGTGCTTCAATCTCGTCTTCCTGGGAGGCGCAGCAGACTGCCCAACATAGCACAAGCCCTGGAAGGCATAAGTGATTCCATACTGGAAGCCAGGTTTAAACTTCTGCAGTGATGTTTAACTCTACCACACCTTTCTCCCCACCCTTTTTCTCGAACTGAAAGAAGTTGGAACTTTTTTCCTTCTTGTTAGTGCACCTTGGCTTGAAAATGGGCCTTTGCCCTCTAGTTCCAAAAAGACACAGTGTAGGTGTGTGCTTGCTGAAACCACTCTCAGAGTAACAAGCCAGACTGTCACCTGGTAGCAAGCCATGTTTGAATTAGTGTTGCATAATGCATAGAAGATGAAGTCAATGCTGCAAAATTTTTTCACCCAAGATATAAACTGCAAAGAGTCTGCATACTCTAGGGTACTGAGTACATGAGAAGGCCTGGTGATTAGAGCAAAGGAGTGAGTACTTCTCAAGGAGTATCCATCTAGGAACCTAAAGCCTTCTGCTGGGGCAGACGGACAGAAGTTAGTTTTCAGTGAATGGCTGACTCACAGGGCTGTGTCCTGAATTTTTCAAGATCTGCTCTAGGAAAATGCTCAATGTCTTGTGGGCATCCAGGCTGCTGAAGGAGACCCTGATGCCCAGATGAGTTAGCTGCTATGGAGAGCTGTCCAATTCCTAACATTGATTTCATGCAGATGATGAAAGCTACTTAGGGCTATGCTTTGAACAAACCACCACTGGACTTCCTGGGCAAAGAAGGACCAGACCAAAGGGTTGAGAAGAGGGTGCCTGCTAATATTACCTCACAGAATTATGGGGATTCTAGCCTCTTGTGGATTTGATGGAGTCAGATCTGGACAAGTCCAAAGTTGGTTGAGCCCAGGGCATGGACCTTCTGTTCCTCAGTGGGAACTGGTCACTGGCCCAATTTCTACCTTGGTTGGGTCTTCCTGAATGGGAGGCTAGACAAGTCTGCCATTTTTGCAGCTGTGGCTTTGTTTTCTTGTAATGCTTAGTAAACTGGTTCTTATCAGATGATCTGGCAATACTTTGCTAGCATGCTAATTTCGCATCCACCTTACCTACCTACAGCCTACAGTGCATCTTCAAAGAGAGACCCACAGGGAACTCATTAAAGTGGTGATGGTGATATGTGAAGGAAAATGATCATAAACTAGACCTACCTAAATGATGATCATTGGAGAAGAAATACATGAAAGTAAAATAAAAATTTTTACTTTAAATTTGTTTAAAAGATAAATAGTTTAAGTATTAATAACAATGACACATCAACTAATTATATCATGTGGGTAAGTAAAATGATAAGAGGAATGATTTAAGAGATGGGAGGGAAGAACTGAGAATACAGTATACTATGCCACACTCCCTCTTGATTATGATAGTATTATCTGAAATTGGACTTATTGGTTATTAAGTATACATAGAGAACTTTAGGGTAACCATAAAAATTGCCTTAAAAAAGTCTCTATGGCATGTCCTGGCTACAATTAGGAATGGGTTAGGTTCCAAACTTGTTGTGGAAACTAGTTCTTTCTGTACATTGTGTACATATATATATATATATTTTCATAAAATGGCTCCATCAGTGGCAGTGATTCTTATAGTCTTACACTAAGAGAGTCCACATAGTCTCAGGTGTCAGCATTTGGCAGACTTTGAAGACTTGGAGCAGAGAGCATCACTGGGGTGTGGTTTTGGTGGTGGTCTGCTCCTTCATTTTTCTTCTTTCTTTGAACCCCTGGCCAATCCTGGGCTTTAAGAGCTGAGAAAACTGGAAAAATCTGCCTGGAAACTGCAAGTTCAGGTGGCAGCTATGGATATGTGGACAGTCATTGGCTCAGGTACTTATCACACCACTTGCTCAGTCTCCACAGTCTATCCCATACCCACAGCTGTGCTTAGTATGGCCTACAGCTGATGCAGCCTCTGTATATTTGTTGTGTTCCCTTACCTGCACTGTTCCAGACAGCTCCCAGTTTTGTTTTACTGTCAACAATCAAAACCTGATTTATATCAAAGTGCAGCTAAGGGGTTGACAGAATAATTATGTTTAAGACAAAAATGTGATCATATAACATCCTTTTCATGGCCAAGAGTGTAGAACAAGGCATAATCAGTCCTTCCTATACCTCTTCTGCCTTTCTTTTAGCATATGAAGTTGTTACAACTGCTCAGGGAACCTCTAGGGGTTTTCTATGTGTTCTTATATGTATGTGGAAGGCCTCTGCCAACTTTGCCTGACAAATCCTGATGGTCCTCAGGCCACTCACCACTTCACCACTGTTGTCACTGGCTGTAGTTCTCCAGTGCTCAGTCGGTAGTCCCTCCCCTCCTGTCTGTAGCAGTGGATGAAGGATGGGTATATATATTTATATGTATATATATACATATATAACCACACACACACAATACATATATACACACACATGTATACACACATACATATATATCAATGTGACATATTATATAAGCAAAAGTAAAGACAAAAATGATATAATAATGTTAATATATAAAAAGAAAGCGGTTGATAAGATTCAGCACACAGAATGATAAAAATTCTAAACAAGATGGGAACCTACTTTAACATAAAGAAGGCTACATATCACAAACCTATAGCCAATATAGTGCTTAATAGTGAAAAATTGAAAGCTATAAGGTCAGAACAAGATAAGGGTGCCCACTGTCATTACTTCTATTTAATTTAGTATTAGAGGTTTTAGCTAGGGAAATAAAACAGGAAGTAAAAGGAATTCAGATTAGAAAAAAAGAGAGACTGTCACTATTTGCAGGAGATATGAAACTGTATTTAGAAAATTCTAAAGATGAACTCTCCCTGGTGGTGCAACGGGTTAGGGCCCAGCACTGTAAGTTAGCTGTAGGTGCTTCAATACCAGTTTGATCTTCAGCCCTGGAGGTAATCCAGATGGCACAGAAGATCTCTCTTGTCTTGCACACTGCTCCCATCAGAAGTGTACTTTTTCAATCTGCCTGTTCTGACCCCACTCTGTCTCTGGTGAATCCTCACACCACACCTGCATCTCTGACTTGTACCCAGTTCTGTATGCATAAATAAATTAACCTTTAAAAAAAGAAAACACTAAAGACTTTACCAAAAAACTATTCAAAACAGCAAATGAATACAGACAAGTGGCAGGTTACAAAAATCAACAAGCAAAAATCTGTTGCCAAAACCCCCAGAATATGCTGTATTTTTATATACAAATAATGAACAAGAAGAAAAGGGAAATAAGACAATGATTTCATTCAAAATTGCATCAAAAGGAATCAAATACCTAGGAATTAACTTAGCCAAGGAAGTGAAGGAGATATTTAATGAAAACTCTATGACATTATTAAAGGATACAGATCATGTGATTGATTACATAAGATGGAAAGACATTCCAACCTCATGGACGAGAAACAATATAGTTAAAATAACTACTCTACCAAAATGGTATATAAATTTTACACAATATCCATTGAAATACCAATAATATTCTTTAGTGAGACAGAACAAAAAATATTAAAATTTATATGGAATCACAAAAGCCCTCCAACAGTAAAAGCAATCCTGAGTGAAAAGGAAAGTAATAGCAGCCATCAACTTACCTGACTTTGTACTATAAAGCAACAATTAAAACAGAAATTGAATTAAGGAATAAATAGAGACACAATGATCAATGAAACAGAGTCAAAAAAGCAGAAATAAATCCATATATATATAAATACTTAATTCATGATAAAGGATACATGACTGTACAAATGGGGAAAGGACACCTTTAATAAAAAGTGCTGGGAAAACTTGATAACTACATTAAAAAAATGAAGTTGGATCACTCTCTAACTCCCTGACAAAGATAAATTCAAATATAGACTTTCTATTAGAATGATATAGGTTTAAATATAGGAATTGAAAAAATAAAATATATAGAAGAAAACATAAGCCTTTCATTTTGCGACATTTATAATAAAGATGTTTTTGAAGTGGCAAGGAAGATAAAACAAAAAAGAACAATTAAGATCACTTCAATTTAAAAGGCCTTTTATACAACAAAAGAAAGTATCAGTAGAGTGACATCTTACAGAATGGGAGTAAATACACATTACAAAACTGAGATGGGGTTAATATCCAAGACACACACACACATAATCGATATTAGCAATAAAAAGCAAGTGACTCTAATAAACTGGGAGGTAGCAGATATGAGCAATTTACCAAAGAGGATAACCAGAAGGCTGGCAGGAAAATATCTATCATCACTTTTAGGAAGGGAGATGCAGTGAGAAATGATCTTACTCATAACAATGGTACAAATTAAAAAGACTCACAACAATTGCTGGAGAGAATGTGGAGCAAGGTATGTGGAATGCTGTTACACTGTTAGGAATGTAACCCGGGGCAACTATTTCCAAGTCATCTGGATATACATTTAAGTAAAAATGGAAATACCATATGACTTAGCATTTCAGTCTTGGGTACCTTTCCAAACAACATGAAACCATCAATTAAAAAAAAATATATGCTCTAGAATGTTTATTGAAGCATAATTTACAACAGGTAGCACATGTAAACACCTTAGATACTCACTTATAGAAAATGATTAAGAAGATGCTATAGTCACACAAAGGAATATTATTTAGCCATACAGAGGATGAAGGCCATATATTACAAAATGGAAGAAGTTTAAGGGAATTATGTGTAATAAAGCAAGTCAAAATGACAAAGACAAACATTGGACATTTAGCAGTGGACAATCTGACAAAGCAAAATACTCATAAAACTAACAGAAGTCAGTAAATGCAGTGACATTTCCAAGATTAAGAGGGAGAGGAGAAAGAAAGAGTCAAGGGATATAAAGAATGACAGCTAAAAAATAAAAAAAAGAAAACTCTGTATATAACATTTTAATACCTGTATTTCATTCCCTATACCTGTTCAGTGTTATGTGGCAAAACTTGAGAAAAATAAAAATTGATATATAATTAGTAGATTGTCCTTAATTTAAGTGGGCCTTAAAAAAATAAAGTTTTTCCCCTCACACCTTATTGATTAGTTAGCATATGCAAAAAACAAAATTAAAAAAGAAAATATTAATACTTTTTTCAGCTCCAGATTCCTATATCCAGGTACTGAAACATTTCACATGTATCAAAAATGTCTAAACTCTGACAGAATTGAAATTGTTCCTGCAAAGCTGACCTCTCCGACCCCATCTTACTTCACAGAGCTTACTACAGCTTTGTGCTGAAATCAGAGTCTGGAGTTATCACACACACATCTGTACCTTGCTCCCTCTATACAGATTTCACTTCCTTCTGTAGCTTTCGCTGTTAATTAAGTCCACTTCTGAATTTTCTTTTCTACCTCCTTAGTCTCACTTCTTTGCATACAGTGAGTACTGCTTGAGACTCTGACCTCTCCATTGTTCTGTAGATACAAAAACTGCACCTCACCATCCTCATTGAAATGGCAGCACACAGTCCTGCAGGGTCACTTACTCAGTGGTATGTGCCCTTCAGCCTTTCTTGGGTTCCTAACCCCATCCAGCTCTTTCTTTCTTCCAGGCTCCAGTTAGTGGCCTTTATGAGTCCTCTTCTCTTCCTGCTAGATATTTTTCCTATCATGTCCCTTCACCTAGCAGCTACTCCTTACCTTCAGATATAGGCTCTAGGATCCTGTTATTTGAGAGACTTCTGTTACCTTCTTGCCAAGGAAAGGTCCTAGTGACAAGCACTCAAATGGAGACTCAGAACACCACACCTTTATATTTGCTGTGTGTGTATGTCTGATTGATATTTCTTTTTTAGTCTAAAAGGCAAAGAACCTTCTGATTTTGCTCCTTAGAATGTCTGGAATATGTTAGCACTAACCAAATATTTATTGAATAAATGAGAAAATGAGTTAATGACTATAAAAATATAATTAAAAAGACACAAATACTTTTTTCCAACATGACTGACTACCTACCTCGAACACTACAAATGGAATTGTCTTGAGTGAAAGGATTCAGTTCATCAAGCCTCACAGAGTCGGTCAGCTCACAGGGCCTGGCTTGAGAGGCCTCACCCAAATGGGATCCTTGAAGCAAGAGGACAGTACGTTCGGCACAAACAATCCGACCTGCCAACAAAGACACTTCAGATTATTAAACACTGAAGAAAAGTGAGCTCTCCTGTCAGTATGACAATGTCCTCTGTCAGTCTTCTACAAGTCATGGGGACTTGTGAGGTCCATGTGTGTGCACCTGCACTGTGCAGAGGGTAGCTTCACACTTCTCAGGATACTAGCTTAGAAAATCACAGATACTAGACTCAGAGTCAATTCAGAAAGGTGGATTTTGTGTTATGCAAATTATATCTCAATACAATAAAAATGAACATGCAATTTAGGCAGGATTCCTAGGGGAAAAAAGGGCTGAATGAAATGACCTAAGCATATGCTTATAAGGTAGTCTAGCTTTTTGTTTGTTTTAAAAGGTGATGTTCCAGTCAGTGACATCTGCACTACAAAGGGTGTCACCAACAGACAGTTCTTGAATGATGATGGCATCACTCAAAGGGCCCAAAAGAACTGTGGGGGTGTTCTGGTGGCCATGACACAAGTCAGTGAAGGCCCAAGGAGGGCACCAAGGGCCTTTTCCACCCAAATTGCTAAGTCCACAGTGGATTTTGTCATGGGATCAGCAGCTCCAGAGGAAAACACAGGTATATGGAACACCTTTGTCTTACACAGAGGCCTTGTTGGTGGCCAGTGGGATTAAAACTATCTAGAAACATACCCTGGTCTCGGATTGTGTCCCTGAAGAGAAAGCTGTGAGGGGTGGCGTCAGAGAGTGCCTCCTGGACTTCTGGGCTCAGCACACATGAGGAAGACACACAAACCAGCATGGTTTTGGGGAGGTTAGCTTCATTCTCATTCTGCATTTGCAAGGTGACATCAGTCACTATCAGACAAATCTCCCTTTGCTCCGCAAGAAGCAAACTGTTTAGCTACAATTCAAAGACAGGGTTAAAATTATTAACAATGGTTATTCACACAAAAACTTAATTTTTAAAAAGCAATAACCTTAGATGATTATTTTCAATGCCAAAACATTCAGATAGCATGCCCACAAATATTTTAAAACACATTAGACTATGCATTCTTGGTCATTAGGCCCCACTGACATAACTGGGCCTACTTGCCAGGATACAATCTGTTTTCCCTGGTACTACTGTACTTATTCTCTGACCTACTCATGGAGAATTTATTATTATTATCCTCCTGATTTCAGGTTTGTATTCCTCGAATGTTAATCACCACACTATTTTACATTGTAGATACATGTTCCCTCTCCTGCTAGATACATGTTTCCTAAGGGTTAGGAATTGTTAATAACTGAGGTTTATGTTATTCCCCGATTCATGTATTATAGCCCTAACCAGAAGTGTGATGATAAAGTGAGGTGGGACCTTTTGGATCAGGATAGAGCCCTTGTGATAGGATTGGTGCCCATATAAGAAGAGACAGGAGAGAGCTTGCTTATTTTTATTCTCCACATGGGAGGATACAAGGATCATTTTGTGAAATGAGAGTGCCCTACCAAGACCCCAGCCACATTAACAATTTTACTACAGACATCAGCACTTCAGAATTGTGAGAAATAAATGTTTGCTGTGTAAGTCACCTAGTCCATGGTATTTTGTTATAACAGCCCAGATGATTAAGGCAGGAATAGATCTTACTTCCTGCTTCTTACACCTTACTCAGACATTATGCAAGGCCTCTGTGTAAGACAAAGATCAAAAGTTTGTTGCATCTGCAACAGTTTTGTTTTCCTTTCCTTTATTATGCTTTTATTTCTTTTCCATTTTTTATCTGAAATATTTGTAATGCATTTTCAATTATTTATTTTTGAAGATTTATTTATTTATGCATACAAGAACCATGGTACAGGCCTGCGTGGGCAGTGAGAGGATTCACCAGAGACAGTGGGAAACAGAACAGGCAATTGACTGAAATAACTGCTGAGGGGAGCAGTGGGAGGAACAGGGGAGGTCTGCTGTGCCACGTGGGTCAGCTTCCTGACTGGGGATCCAACTTGTGCTACAGTGGCTGCAGATAACGTCATAGTGCTGTGCTTTAAACCCTTGCAACACCAGGGCGACCCCTGTAATCCATATTTAATGTTACATAATTATTAACTGAATTCCTATCCCCTTGATTGGGGTTTAGGATTCATTAAATGCAAAGGACTCATGGAATTGGCTGGGAAGACTTGTGTGGTCAATAGGGCTGGGTCATGAAAACCTAGCTGCTTGAGGTTCAGTTGGTGTTGCTGGTCCCATGTAACTGCCTGACAGCACTAAGCAGAGAAGGTTACTTGGTGAGAAGCTGTTGACTGGGATAGAAAAGACAACTCATATGGTTGGGAAGTTAATTATATACAGAAAGTAAGGGTATGTTATACTGAGGTAAGAGCCAGGTTTCTCACTGTTGGATAAGGGAGTTTAGAATATGGAAATAGGGAAACCTAGAATTAATTCTAGGTAATCATCCAGACTTGGAGGTATTGGTATAAAATCATGCTTTTAGAGAGGAATACAAAGACAGAAATAAATACATATTCATGTATATTTTTGCAATCATATACAAATATTGTTTTCCTTGCTGTGCCTACTGTAAAGGTTGAGAGGCAACTGCATCCAGTAGATTCAACCCACTTATTGCTGAGGCCCAGAATTCTAAGTGCCATTGTTTACTAAAATCAAGCAGAGCTCCTTAAGAGTAGAGAAAGCTGTAGATGAGTCTAAATCATCTTATCCTTGGTGGCAAAGTAAGGCAGTGCTCAAAGAATGAAGGGAACATGGTCAAAGGACACAGAAGTTAGCTTGAAACTAGGAAAATCTGAACAACAAAATAAACAAAAACTGACTTATGGCCCTTGCTGATAGAAATAAGTGAATATGTGCATAAATCAGTGAAATGAAAAGCTTCTAATTCTAGCTAAAGGTAGACTAATAAATGCAGAAGTGTTGCTAGAATTAGAAAATGAGCACCATGAGAGAAATAATTCAGGCAAGAATCATATGTATGCTAAAATTAGTGGATAAATGTTTGATAAGAAATAGGGTATTTATATAGCCTCACTATATCTTCACTTAAATATTTTACATGTTTATTAGTTAATAAGTATGAGATACCAGTTTAGAGTAGAACAGCTTAGAAAACACGATCATAATCAGTTGCTAAAATGTCATATCACGAGGTCAAATCAACTGTTTCTTCTACTATGAACACAGTTTTTTTTTTATATAAAAATGTATTTTTTTAAGTTTATTTTACATTTTGTTTTCCATCTCAATTGTAGTCCCCGAGGGTTTCCCATCACCAAGTCACCGGTGTGCCATAACCATAATCCTGTGCACTTCCCTCCCCATCCCCCGTTTTTGATCCCGTTCCCCACTTCATCCCCACAAAATGTTTCTGGTATTCTTGTTATTTTCTCGCCTGGTCCATTTATACTCCTGCTATGAGTGAAACCATCTGGTATTTTTCTTTCTCTTTCTGGCTTATCTCGCTAAGCATGATCTTTTCCAGCTCCATCCAAGTTGCTGCAAAAGACATGTTTCTCTTTTTCGGTTGCT